GCTGGGCTCCGGCGATCCTTCCGCCTCAGCCTTCCGAGTAGCCGGAATTACAGGCATGCGCTACCACGCCCGGCTGATTTTTTGATTTATTGTAGAGATGAGGTCTCGCTGCCCAGGTGGGTCTCGAACCTGCGGGCTCAGGCAATCCACTCACCTCAGCCTCCCAAAGGCGCGGGATTACATGCTGAGCCACCGAGCCCGGCTAATAAATCTTATTTAAATAAAAATTCCACTGAATATTTATTCATATGCATAAATTATATCATATTTTAGTAAATATACGGTTATGTGAAGTTAAGTCTTACATTGTATTGGTTTATAACAAATAGCACCATCCTTTACAGAGTTGCATTTTTCATGTTTCCAAGTTCCTTTTGGGTCCAACACAACACAATTTCCAGGAGATTTTTGGCCTCCCCATGGGATGTAGTCAAATGTACTGCCATCAGACCATTCAAAACTTGATTCACTTCCCTAATTTAATAATAAAAGAGATAACTTGAACCCAAATGTATGACTTCAAAAAGAACATAAAGGACAACATACATACTTTAAGAAATAATGTATTAATTATTTGCTTACAAGTATTATAGGTCTGAACCTATTTATAAAATCAGAGATTTACTTTTGATGCATTGATTTGGGACATTTGCTCTGACACAGTTTAAACTGAACTTTAAACTTACAGACAGAGTTACTATACCCTGTCTCTAGGATTTTTTTTTAAGGAATGAGTTTATATAACTTTTGACATTAAATGAAATGCAAATGGCTTCCACTTGTCACAATTACAGATTTACAATTTCGATCTTCATATTGTTCTGAATATTGTTTTATAGTTTTGTGGTTTGTGTCTATGGCTACAGAGGCCGTCTCAAGCAGCAGGGGGCTAGAAAAAGAAAATACTTCCCAAGAAACTCAAAATGGGAAGACTACTTTTGACCTTTTCTTTAATCTATAATCTTAACTTGCCATCCTTTCTTTTATTTTCCCTGCCTTGTTCCAAAGATTACTAAAATTAGGACTACAACTCCAATCTCAATAGATAGCTATTTTTTTTGTATATCAGACCTTATTATAAATACTAAATATATTAATAGGATTCAAATAGTGGCACAGAAGATGTGTTTAACAGCAGAATTAATCTTAAGCAGTGCTAAATTCTAGGGAAAAAGTGGGAAGAGAAGTGTGTATTTATTAGTCCTAACTTGGTTAAGACATTTAGTTGGCACCTTGTATAGTTTTTTTTGGTTAAAATCTAATGAAAATATCATTAGATATGGAAATCTGCAAAGATTAAGTAACTTGCTCCTGATCACCCAGCACATAAAGGAAGACCTGCCATGAGTACTGAAACTCAGGTTTTTCTGATTCTATGCTAAAGGTGTTGTTGAGCTATTAATCGACTGGGCCCTTGGGACAGCCTGGCCATTTGTCCTAGTGCATTCTATAGACAAAATGTTCTATTCTATGTTGTAAAAGGTAGGAAAGCACTAGGCTATGCAAACTGATTTAATCTGATGTTGGACTTTGAATGAATATTTTTATGCTCAAATTTCCAATCCTAAAAGTAACAGACTTGAAAAGTTTCTGGAAAACAAAGCAAAACTTACGTCATGACTTGAGAGCCCAACCCATAGTGGGAATCCATCACGTTTTACAATATCTTCCAGAAAGAGCTGGCCATTTTGGTCGTGAACACTTGCCAAGTGACCTCCACTTTGAGAACATGTGTTTAATGCTTCATACCACGTTACCCTTTTTTGAATAACATTATAAGTGCCATCTTTATATGGAATAAACTGCGGCAGTGTGGTATTATATTCTTCTTTGTAGTCAACTATAATATTTAAATTAGAAGGGTTGGTGATTCAATTTAAATTATTTCAAATACATATTTTAGATAAGACAACATGCAGTCATTTCAAAAGTTAAATAAAACTGGGTTTCTTATGAATAAGGGAGGGCAACTGCATACTTTATTTTTCTTATTGCTATAGCACATATCTTATGTTCCTAAGTATTATAGTTGTCTGATTGATTTTTTTAAAAAAAGGAATAAACACAATCTTCATTTAAGGAGTTCACATATTAGTTGGAGACAGAAAACAACAATGCTTGAAATGATGGCTCATCAACAAAGGTACCTACATAATGAATATTTGTATACCTAACCTTGAATTGTACCCCACATCTTAAAAAAATAAAAATAATAAATAATAAAATAAAGAAATTGTAAAGCAAATATTTCATCACAACAAAATTTCTTCACACAAAAACAAAACAAAATAAAATGAGGTTGCAATAAAATTTAAAAAAAAGAAATGATGGCAAAAGCATGATCCACCAGGGCATCTGAGACTGATTAGAAATTCACCTGAAAGAGAGGAGTCAGGAAGCCTGCTTGATAAATCAGGTCTCAAAGGTTAGGGTGAGAACAAAAAGAAATTAAAAAGTCAGAAAGTAAGAAAGAGCTAGAAACAGACACACAACAACAAAATCATAGCTATTTCAAATGAAAGAACTCCCAATGACCAAAGCTGGAAGAATTTGAGCAAAATATTAAATAATGTAGTATGATGGATTATATTTCAAAGTATAAAATAAATAACCATACTTGGTCTAGAGGGTGAGAGGAAATTAAAAATTTAAAAAGTAAAGTGACCAGACAGTATGGAAGTGCCACAAGCAAACAACAAAAACCACAATAATGAGGGTATAAATAAATGTCTGAATAAATTTTAAAATGGAAGAAAATAAACAAATCTATGCAGAAGAATCCCAAATGATGTATATAGATGCTCTTCTCACAGGAAGGTAGAGGATACCTCTTCACCTTGTAAGTGTGGGTTGAGCATAGTGACTTCCTTGGAAAGAAGAAGAATCTACTATGCAGAAGAACCTCAAATGATGTATACAGACCCTCTCCCCATGGGAAGATGGTAGAGGATAACTCTCCACCTGGTTAAGTGTGAACTGAGCATAGTGACTTCCTTAGAAAGAACACAGTATGGAAAGGGCTATTTATAGTACAGAACCTAACAAACACTACACCTGATCAAGGTTAAAATCAACAGTGATAGATCATGTTGATAGTATGTTTGTGCATATGAAGTGTTGTGACAATGCCACTTTATATCTGTGGTCTTGCCCCCAAAACTCATAGCCCCAGTTAAATCATGAGAAAAACATTAGCTAACCCAAAGTGAGGGATGTTCTACAAAGTACATGACCGATGCTCCACAAAACTATCAAGTTCATCAAAAACAAGAAAAGCCATCACAGCCAAAGTAGCCTAAGGAGATATAATGACTAAATGTAATGTGGTTTTCTGGATGGAATCCTGAACAGAAAAAGTATGTTAAATAAAAACTAAGGAAATTTGAATAATGTATGAACTTTAGCTAATAATAATCATGTACCAACATTGATTTATTCGTTGTGACAAATGTATTACACTAATGCAAGATGTCAATAGTAGGGAAAACCGGTTGTGGGATATATGGAAACTCTCTATACTATCTTTGCAACTTTTTTAGAAATCTAAAGCTATTTTAAAATGAAAAGTTTATTAAAAATGTAAAAAATAGAAAGCAGAAAGGCAGAAATCTTCTTGAAGGAAGAAAACATAAATAAAGGTACAAATATGAGGATGGGCACACAACTGTAAATGGACAATTACAAGATCAGCCTGACTGAGAAGAAGATGCTTGCAGAGCAAGAATGAGGAAAAAATAAAGGATGGGAGAAGGCCTAGAAATTAGGAATAGAAACTGCTTTCTAAAAAGTCTCAAAAATTTAAATGGACTCAAAGTAATTGATAACAGGGAATCCCTGGAGATGGGTGATAGAAATGGTCTTGAGAAAGTTATTCTGCAGCACTATGGAGGGATGCCACTGTGACAGGCTCCATGTTAGCAGAGGACTTAGAGCCAAGTGGTAGTAATAACTGTTTTCAAACTGTGAAAAATTTAAAATTAACACGTATTTTAAAATAGATTCATTTAGGATTAACCAAGGTTGAGAGACATTCATTTTACCTTCAGTGTCAAAACTCTACCCAAACACACTCTCTTATTTATAAAAATTTCATCCATCTTTCAAGGCCTAACCAAGTCTCACCTCTTTCTGAAGACATTCCTTGTTTTTATTGATCTCTTTTGACTTCCCAAATAATGTAAGATTAACTTACACATAATGATGACAAAGAATTTAATGCTGTCTCCCAGTTACATTTTACTCTTTGAGGGCAAGATCTTTACATGAGGGCCCATGTCTTCTCCTCCCTCTGTAACCTCTGGAGCACCTCACATAGGACTGAATATAGAGGAAGCACTCGAAAATTACAATTGCATGATTCCCACTGGTGGAACTAATGGCTTTATATTCTCTTTCCCTGGAGTGAAAACTCTACATTAGCGTACTTACCCATTTCAATTTTACAAGCAAGAATGCTCTGCTGGTGAAAAAAAAGTGTGTCTTGGAGAGCATTAAAGGTTAGAACATCCCAGAAGCCATCAGTACTTAAACCAGCCAAAAACTTGCCACTTTTTATAGTTGGTCTTCCTGCTCGCCAGTGTGTATATGACAGCATGGTCTTATCAAACCACATAAGAGAATTATCTAGAGAAGAACATTTTTTTTCTATGCTTAGAGATTAAATCAAGATTGAATTACAGTTACATAATTACTATTTCAAACTTGACAACTTTATTTCTCCTTTTCCCACCTTCTAAAAGGTTGTCTGATTATGTATATACTCTTAAAATATTTTCTGATTATAGCAGTAAATCATGCTTATTTTTAATTTAGAAAGTACAAATTATAAATATGAAAATTAACATTTACCTATAATTATACCATCCTTCAATAACAACACTTTGTTATTTTTAATAAAATATTCATTTCTCTTAATATAGTTTAATTGTCATGGAAATTAACTATTTTATTTTAGAAATCATTGATACATTACAAAATTAGGGACAAATCTTTTCTTTGGGCACAAACTATACACAATTATTCATAATTATGGCCAAATGATTTTTTTTTTTTGAGTTGGAGTCTTACTCTGTCGCCTGGGCTGGAGTGCAGTGGCCACCCCAGCATCGACCTGCTAGGCTCTGGCAATCCTTCCACCTCAGCCTTCCAAGAAGCTGGAACTACAGGTGTGTGCTACCACACCTGGCTAATTTTTTTATTTTGATTGTAGAGACAAGGTCTCACCATGTTGCCCAGGTTGCTCAGCCAATACTCTCGCCTCGACCTCCCAAAGTGCTGGGATTACAGGCTTGAGCCACCACACCCAGCTGGCCAACTGATTCTTAAGAACAATGCCAAGACAATTCAATGTAGAAAAAAATAGTTTTCTCAACTGGATATCCACATGAAAAAAAAAAATGCAGTTGGAACCCTTCCTTTCATCACACACAAGAATTAGCTTAAAATAGAACATAGACATAAACTATAAAACCCTCAGGAAAAAAACACAGAAGTTACTAGAGAGATGATGTTAAAATTAAGAAGAAAGAAAAACAAGAACACATAGAAGTACGTCTTCATGACAGTCGGGTAAACAATACCTCCTTAGGCACAAGTGGCAAAAGAAAAAAATATACAAGTTGAACTTTATCAAAACTAAAACTTCTGTGCTATCAGAAAAGTGATGAGAGAAAAAAAAATATATATATATTTTTGAGAAAGCAGGATTTATTGAGGGGTCAGAAAAGCTCCCAGAGCAGGAGGGGACCCAGGGGGGTTGCCCGAAGGAAATTATTTATCTGACAAGGGCATTATATCCAGAATATATAAAGAATGCTTTCAACTTGACACTAAAAATGAAAAAAAAAAATGAGCAAAATATCAGAATTAAATTTTTTTTCCAAAGATGATATACAAATATTCAATAAGCACATGAAAAGATGCTTAACATCATTAGTCATCAGGGAAATGCAATAAAAACTCAATGAGATATTACTTTATGCCTACTTGTAAGGCTATACTTTAAAAAAATAGATAAAAGCAATGTTGGCATAGATATAGAGAAATTGGAACTCTTATACACTGGTGGAAAACTTGTGGTAGGAATGAAAAATGTGGTATAGCTACTTTGAAAAACAATCTGCTAGCTCTTCAAAGGGTTAAACAAAAGACCCAGCAATTCTACTCCTAGGTGTATACTCAAGAGAAATCGGAATATATGTCCACACAAAAACTTGTACATGAGCCTTCAGAGAAGCATTATTTATAAAAACCAAAAATGTGAAAGCAACCTAAATGTCTATTAACTGGTGAATGGATAGATAAAATGTGTTATATCCATAGAATGAAATATTATTCAGTCACAAAAGGAATAATGTGCTAATACATGCTACAATATGGATAAACCTTGAAACTTTTATGCTAAGTCAGGCATACAAAAATCACACATCATATGATCCCATTTACATAAACTGTCTAGACTAGGCAATCGGTTGCTAAGGACTAGGAGAGAAGTAAGGAATGGGGAGGAAACGCTAATAGGCATTGTGTTTTCTTTTTAGGATAATAATAGTTGCACAACTCTGTGACTATACTAAAATCAGTCACACTGTACACTTTACCAATTTTCTGACCAGTATGATGTGCAATGGTATATTTCTAATAAGTATCTCTCAGTTGACATGCTGTGGTTTCTGTTGGTAATTTCCTTCCATAGCCCTGCTACTGAGAAATCAAAAATGTTTTAAAGAACAGAATTGTTATTTTAGGTGCCAAAACAATTAAATATCCTACAAGTATATTGAAGTAACTAATAACAGTAACTTATGGATCTAAGTCAGTAAGAACTAGATTTAAACCAAATTTTCCATTTTCTTGAAAAATTATTCTATATGTCACTCATATGCATATATAATTTTAATAGAAATTTTGTTACTTATTCATTTTATAAAAGAAGTTCAGATAATTCGAGGAGAGGCTTCAAGATGGCTGACTAAAGGCATCTGGTACTACCTCCTTCACAAAGAAGAACCAAAATAGTGAATACATAATCACACTTAAAATAGTTCAACTGGCTGGGCTCGGTGGCTCAGCCTGTAATCCCAGCACTTTGGGAGGCCAAGGCGAATGGATTGTCTGAGCCCGTGGGTTCAGGACCCGCCCGGGAAACTTGGTGAGACCTCGTCTCTACAATAAATCAAAAATTAGCCAGGCGTGGTAGCGCACACCTGTAGTTCCAGCTACTTGGAAGGCTGAGACAGAAGGATCACTGGAGCCCAGCAGGGCGAGGCTGCGGTGGCCGGGAGCGTGCCACTGCACTCCAGGCTGTGTGACAGAGTGAGACTCCAACTAAAAAATAAAAAAATAGTTCAACTATTTTCTGAATTACATGTTGATATTAATAAAAGAGTAGGGAGGGAGGGTCACACCTCATCAACAAGGGTACCTGCACAATGAACATTTGTATACCTAACCCTGAATTGTACCCCACATCCTTAAAACAAAATAGAAAAGAATAGCTTATCTAAAAGAGAATACTGGAATTTAATAGAGAATGAAAGGAAATACACAAAGCAAGGAAAAAGGAAATGAGGCAGCCTGCTTAGTTGGGATTGGCTAGGAGCCTGAAGAGGCTCCCCAATGTGGGGAAAAAGTAAGTGACTGACCCCCAGGGACTCATATTCCCACCATGGACTCTTGCATCCTAGCCATCCCAGACCCTCGAGGGCCATAACCCTAGCACAGGGAGATATCTAGAGACTGCATAAAGGCATTGCTCCAGGGAGGGAGCTCACACTAGGTCCCACAGATCTCCAGAGCCCCTAAGCAGCTACAGCAAGGTGCCGTATTGGCAGACCAGCTCTCACCAGTCTGCATTATGCCTGGGGAGCCCAACAACACTTACATCTCTATTTCTCTGGAGCCTCAAGGGCATCCCTTGCCTGTAGCCACAGCGGTCGCTGACTGGCGCCTTCAGGGCTGAAGTGCAAACTATTGGCAAAGATTCCACTTCCCCTGGTGATAAAGCCACCATTCCTTTTCAAGCACCGTGAGGATAAACTCCCAAAGCTGTGGCAGATGCTGCTGCAGGCTGCTGCAGCTGGGGATGAAGTGCAGGCAAAGTGCATGCTCCCCAGCTGCCTGTGAAGAGCTGCTGCCACTGAAAGCTACCCCGCCCTCCCCAGTTACAGGGTGGCAGTATAACTGCTGCCTCCCTCACTTGAACATTCCACCTTGGGTTTGGAGAATGCCCTACCTCTGCCTATCACAGCCAGCACCTGCATATATTACTAGAGGGGACTGAGGAGAGGTCCACCCAGCATGGCTTCATCCCCCTATCCCATGCCAAGCATGCAGTCTGGGAGCCTTGGGATTGCCCAGTCCTTTCCACCATTGTTGGCACTTGAGCATTCCTCCCAGGACCCCGAGGTTGAGTTTGCTACCACCCGCTACTACCACCACATCAGGCACCCACAGGCACACACACAACTTGTGGGCCTGGGACTGGCCTGCCCAGCCTGTCACAGCCACCACCAACACCAGCACGGACTGCTTGGAACCCAGAGATTAGTCCTATCACTACTATTGCCATTGGCCATGCCATGCTCACTGCTAAGGGGCCCAAGAAACTGTCCCCCTTCCTGGTCTGCTGCTGCCATTTACAAGCCTCTTGGAAACTGAAGAATTGGCCCACCTGGACCACAAACACTGGTGCCAGCATATGCTACCCTGAGACCCAAGGACAGGCAAGCTTGGACTATTGCAGCCATCGTTGAGGCCCAAGAACAAGCCCTCTTTGTGTCCCCATCCCCAGCAAAACTTCCCCATAGCCTCCACTAACAACTCCATTCTAAGCTACTAAGGAAATCACAGATATCACTAATGCTGTTTATAACTGAAGAAATCATACAGAGACTACACCACTGCATGCAGTCAAAATAAAAATCAGCATCCTCTACCCAACTGACACTATAGATACATCTTCAGGAAAAAGTCTTCCCCTACAGAAGCACATTCAAAAAATTGAAAGAAGTGATGGTTATACCAGATGCAGAGATATCAAGGTAAGGACACAGAAAACATGAAAAAGCTAGAAAATATGATACCTCCAAAGGAAAATGGTAATTTTCTGGCAACAGATTATAATTTGTGAATTCTAGATAAAGAATTTAAAATAATGATATTAAAGAAGTTCAGCAAGATACAAGAGGATACAGAAAAAAATACAAAAAATCAGAAAAACAATTCAGGATATGAATGAGAATTTACCAAATATATGGCACATTATATACCATAAAAGAATAAAACAGAAATTTTGGAACCAAAGCATTTATTACATGAAATTTAACATACATTTGAGATCTTCACCACTTGACTAAATGAAGTAAAAAAATAAAATAAAATAAAATTCAGAACTTGAAGACAGGTCTTTTGAAAAAACTCAGTCAGAAAAAGAATGAAAAAGAATGGACAAAGCCTACATGACATATGGGACACCATAAAGCAACCACATATCAGAAGATTAGGTGTCCTGGAAGCAAGGAGAAAATAAAAGGGTTAGAAAATTCTATTTAATGAAATAATAGCTGAAAACTTCTCCAGTCTAACATGAGATTTAGCCATCCAGGTATGAAAGCTCA